AGCCCACAAGTTCCTTGCCCTGTTCATCATATCATGAAAGAGCGCAGTCATGGCTCGCTGGTACATCTCCCCGGCATTCTTTAGACCAAACGGCATCACCTTGTAACAGAACGTGCCCTCCTACCTAATATGGTGATAAACGCTGTTTTCTCTCGGTCTTCTTCGGCCATCTTGATCTGCTTATATCAAGAGAAAGCACCCATAAAGGACAGCATCCCGTGATGGAAGGGTCGTCGCTCAACGGATAAAAGTTACTCTAGGGATAACAGGCTGATCTTCCCCAAGAGTTCACATCGACGGGAAGGTTTGGCACCTCGATGTCGGCTCTTCGCCACCTGGGGCTGTAGTATGTTCCAAGGGTTGGGCTGTTCGCCCATTAAAGCGGTACGTGAGCTGGGTTCAGAACGTCGTGAGACAGTTCGGTCCATATCCGGGTGGGTGCAGGGCGGACGATTTCAAAGCGGACCCCTCGAACCACGAACTAAGAAAGGCATGAGAGAAAGGCATATTAGCTAGTGATTGTGAGGCCCCAATTCTTAACTGGAGGGGAAGCTTTCTAGTAAGGGGCGAAACGGCTTGTTTGGCTTTCTTCTTTCTGACTACGGCTTCGCTATTTTCCTGGCCCTGACCTTCTGAATCAGGCGACAGGTTGAGATACTTTTCCCAATCCCCCGAGCCACTGTTACCCGAATCCGCCCCAGTGGGCATCATCCGAAGACCTACTATTTCGGGGACCGGAAATTCCCTCTGCCCCTACCGTACTCCAGCTTGGTAGTTTCCACCGCCTGTCCAGGGTTGAGCCCTGGGATTTGACGGGAGGAATTCGAACCCCCGACACAGTGGTTCGTAGCCACGTGCTCTAATCCTCTGAGCTACAGGCCCCACCCCGGGGGTGGACGATGGATTCTATCGGATGACGCGGGCATTCGGCACCAATACCCATCAGCTTCAAAAATGCCGTTGTTTGGGTCCAATTTAGTCCAATTGGGCCTAGGCATTAAATGATCCAATTAAAAGCCCAAGGTCAAGGTTCAACTCTCCAATTGTGCTAAAGTCAAAGGTCAGCCCTCAAAGCAAGCCAATTGGGCTAAGGCCCAACCTCTCCATGTATGAAGAGGTATAAAAGCCATCAATATTCATACATTCAGGCATATATTCATAGATTCATATATTCTCATATACTCAAATAAAGCCTCAAGCAACAAATTCTCTTGCATAGTGTTCTCTTTCTACACATTGTACTGACTTTAGCATCGGAGGGGCCTTCCTCGGCAACACCCCCGAGGCTAGTTTACGTGTGTTTACTGTGCAGGAAACCTTCGGCCCAACATAACTTGGACCGAATCCAGTCTTCTCCGTTTCAGCGGACCTTCGGCAAGGTCCCATTGTTTTCACCCGAAACAAATGAGAAAGCAGTTCAAATAAACGCTAGGAATACCATAAGAAATAATAAAGATCCTGGAAAGTATCGAGTCGAAAGCTCATCCCATTTCATCTTTGCCTTCACAAGATAATCAAGGATAAAGTTCGACCAATTTAAATCCTTGATTTTATCAACATTAGTCAAATATCTGATAATGTCATGATTATCGTTCTTGTTTTGTCCTCCTAACATAAAATAACAAAATTAAATTAAAATGATCAAACAAGAATTAAAATGAGCAAAATGAAAGTAAAATGAACAAAATGAAATAAAAATTATCAAAATGAAAGTAAAATGAGCAATATGAAAAATGAAAAGACTACTTGACATTAAAGTGGAAACACAAAGAACTACAAAATTGCGTTTGAACATTGGCCCAATTGATTTATGGTCCTTCAAATACATTGAAAGCTCCCCAGTGTTGACAGATAATGAGTTCTTTTTGAACTGTTTTTTCCATTGGATAATGACTTTATCATCCTTTGAAAAAGAATTTGCATCCATCTCCATGCCTCCAACTGGCAGCCCTAGGACCTCATGTACATGTTGCTCTGTAATTTTGAAAGGCTCGGAATTAGGAATATTCAAGGAACAACTCTGAGCATCAAAGTGTTTGACCAACCAAAAACCCAACTGCAAAGGCAGTTAGGACACTTTCAAATACTCCAAGGACCCAAATCTTATAGCTCTAAAAGCAATCAACTGATCTTCCGAAAGCTTCTTAACAAAATTAACGACAGATGAAGGCGACATCTTATTACGCAACGTCCCATAAACAACAGACTTTGATCCTTGCACTTCATCAACAACATCCCCTAAATTCAATCCTCCATCTTCACCATCAGGATCCTCGAACTTCACATTCTATTTTTCTTTCACTCCTTTTTCAACCTTTTTTCCTTTACCCTTAGTAGTGACTAATTTGAATCTCTTCTGCTTGTTTTTTGACTTTATAGATGCACTGAGCTTCTCAGACTCTATAGACAATACAGCCCCTGATGAACCAACATCAGTAGCACACTCCTTTTCAATAGAGTTCCTGCTCATACAAAATCATAAAAAAAAAATAAAAAAAAAATAAAAAGTAAAATATCACATAGATTTTTTTTTTGGAGGTGTAGTGAAGAGGATACTTTAGGGGAGGGTCTAGAGTATGTTATGATAGAGAAGCATAGGCTGATAAATTATCTAATGAACAATTGTCAAATGAGCAATCAATATTTTGCTCATTTAGCAAATGAGCAAATAGTTAGTTGCTCATTTGTCAAATGAGCAAATACTTAGTTACTCATCAGTAAAATAAGCAAACATTTCTTTGATCATTTGGGAAATGAGCAATCAGTTTTTGCTCATTTAGCAAATGAGCAAACAATAACTATTATACTGACCAAGAAAACATAAAATGAACAATTAAGAAAACACGTACATTTTCCTTTCCAAAGGTACATCTGTAGAATCTTTAGCATTGGTAGAATCAGTAGCAACCGAAGAATCCATAGCACTGTACAATTCTACAATTAAAAAAAAAAAAAAAAAACCGAAAAAAATGTAAGCTAACTAAAACAAAGGAAAAATCAAATTAAGAAGCAAATTTGTAAGAAAACCCTAAACCAAGATCTTCTAAATGAGGAGACGTGTTTAGATCCTACATGGCTGCATAACCAACCCAAATATCACAAGGTACATATGAATGATATGCTTATTTCTCCTTTTAAGATGCTTATTCATCACAAGGTACAAATGAGCAAGTAATTCTTTGCTCATTTAAGAAATGAGCATTTAACTTTTTGATTATTTGCTAAATGAGCAAGGAATTATTGCTCATTTTGACAAATGAGTAACTAACTATTTGCTCATTAGAGAAATGAACAAATATTTAGTCACTCAAACTAAAACATTTTCAGATTCTAATTACAACACACCAGAGAAAGTCCTAGAAACAAATAGATATATTTCCAAACATGAAAATACACTCATTAGTAAACAAAATATTTGGGTACTCGTCTACTTTATTTGTTATCTATAAGTCTGTTTGGCATTATTAGAATCATAAACTTGTTATTCATCACTGTCAAATTTAAGTTATTGAGACAGCTGATACCAATAACACAGGCAGAGATGCTCTGAAGGCAACTTAAAGGAAAAATCTGATGCAAGCAAGTCGGAACCTTACTATAGTCAAAAATAAACTTATGATCTCCATAAATCAGAAACTGAAGATTTGTCAAGGATAAAGAAGGCAGCAGAGCAAAATACAAATCTGTTGCCAGCACTTAGTTTTGAAGCTACAATAAACATAGGCACTCACAGCTAACTGATGCACAACTCTAACACAATGCATTTTAAAGACATAACTGCTAGTCTACCAGACAAGTATATGCATGATAAATAAAAAGTCTTACAGGAGGAATATGTCAGCCGCCTGAGGAAACAATTCAATCTGGTTGTGATCATCAATCACCAATTAGAATTTCAATTTGATTTATAGAGTGCAATCACAATCAATAGGTGCTAATTACAAGGTAATATATCTGTTAATCATATACTTTCTTATTTCCTAGTTTCCTACTAATATACACAGAGATGGCATTAAAGAAATTCTCAAGTCTCTTCTGTCGTGCACACGTACCTACAACAACACTAGAATTCTCACCAGGTGTGATCTTATCTTCTTTTATCCTCATCTAATTAGTATCAACTGCAATTCATTAGCCTCATATAATTGCTTGGTCTCGGAATCATGTACTAATGGGAACCGAATATTAACAAATGCAAACATTAAAACAGCAGTAAGTAAAACCAAACACTCATTTCATTCCTACTGTCTAGCCAAGTTATCACAGCTAACAAAACTGAATATCATACTTCCAGTAGCAAAAAGTATGTGAAATTACTCAAATAAAGCTAAACACAAAGTATTTTATTGAGCAACAAACAAAAAATGAGCAAGTAAATATAAAATGAAAAAATAAAAATAAAATGAACAAACACATGCATTGTATTTTCTTGAAGACCAATTAGGGATGATTCCATAGCAATTACTTCTAGGTTTCCAAAAAAACAAAGAAAATGTAAGAAAATTACTCAAATGAAGCAAAATTAAAACTAAAATCAACTAATAAGTACTCAAATATAAATCGAATAGAAATCGCCAGGAAAAAAATCGAACGGAAATTGAACCGAAAATCGCCAAAAATCACAAAAAAAATTGACAAAAACCTTAAGTAATCAAACTAAAATCAACGAAAATCAAACTAAAATCAACGAAAATCACCTTGACAAAGAATGAAGCAGAATTAATGAAGAATCAAAGCAAAGGAAGAGAACAGTAAGAAAGGGAGCAGAGAAATAGAAGGAGGAGAGAGAAAATGGCGTGTTGATTGAAGGAGGAGAGAGAAAACGCTAGAAAATTGTTTTTGAAATTATGTTTAATTGGGATAAATTGTAGCCATTGGATGCAATTGATCCAACGGTTGTAATGTGTCCTCACATATAATAGGGTTCTCACATAAAGGATGTGGTCTCATATGATCCCATTTCGAACCAGGTTATAATGAGAATCAATCCTAAATAGGAACTAGGAACTAGGAACTAATCAGAACCGTTGGATCTAAGAGAAGAGGCACGCTAGATCAACAGCTAGGATCTATTCTGACAAATTAAATGAAAGTCCCAAAAACAAATTCGCGATTTTCTCTCTCCTCACCAACGCCATTTTCATTCTCCTCTACTCCATTGACGCGGATTCTGAGCTTTCCCTACTCCGTTGAAGCATCTTCTGAGGTAAGATGTTTTATTTCTCTCTGTTTTGTAATCATTGAATTACGATTTCATTATCTAGGGTTTATCGTTAATTCTTAAATCGAACTCTTTGAATTTCTTCATACGTTCAATTTTGATATCAAATTTACATTTTACTTAACCAATTCTTCAATTTTGAAGTTCTTCTGCTGGAAATTGAAGTGAAACAGATTGATTTTTGGATGTGCCAAAAATTTTGCATAGATTATGGTTAATTTTGCAGAAATTTTATTAATCGATTTATAATTAGTTTAATTTTGCGATTTTAGCTCAATTAGATTTCTAAACTATTATTTTAATCTAGCTTGTTATTTTTAGAATGTGTGTAAACTGAAATTCAGTTCATTTAGCTCGTTATCAACAGATTTTAGTTATTCAATTTAGAATTTGCTATAACAATCTAGGTTTATAAATCTAGCTCTTTAAAGTAAGCTAAAATTCATAAATATCAAACCAGGCCAATTCGATTAAAATGTATTAAAATAAACTAAAATTGTGCAAAAGTTAACTATTTTGCTCTAAAAGTATAATTAGTAATTTACCCTGCTGCATGCTCTGGTGTTTTTTTCGGATGCCAAATTAATTTGGTATGCCTCCCCCTAAGGCTGGATGTGAGTAAATGCACTTTCTCAAGTCTCGTGGAATGGTGTGAATGGCTTGATAAATTTTACTCTGATCGTTCCTGGTGGAGTATTTTTTGGTCTTTGCTTTTGGGTATTTGACTAGGTTGGTGAAGAAAACAATGAGAAGTTCAGGTGTAATGAAGTTGCCTGGTGAAAGCTCTATTGAGCTTAACGGTTGCATTCATAGGTTCGCTGTAGGAGCATTCTCACATCCTGAAGCTAAAGTGATTCATGACATTCTTTGGGAGATACACCAGCAATGTACATTGGAAAGTCATGAGCAAAAGCTCTACTTTATAAACATTGTTCTCATCCAATCAAAGCTCTACTTAATCAACATTGTTCTCATATGATTTATAGTGTGGTTTGCTCTTATCAGAGAAGAAAGTTGAAATGGTAGTTTTTGTGTAGTAGTATATACCTTGACATAGCAGGTCATAATCAGTGAATTTATCGGGTGATTTACCGCCTTGTGCATGGTATAATTTAAACTCTAGCTGCATTTATATTATTTGATAATCTTATCCTCTTAAAGTAAATACAAATTTTATAAAAGTAAACAAATTGAATTCAAAAGTAAAACAATTAAATGCTAAATATATATAAGATCTTGACTTTGTGCTAATTAGTCCAAAAGAATTTTGGTTTAGGTTCTTGTGAGATTTTCATGTTTAAATATTTTCAGTATAAATTTAATAGTTAGATTATCGATTATGCTTTAGATTGTTACTAGGTGTACTAAAACCTATTAGCTCAAGTGGTAGAGCACTATGCAAATGCATAAAGGATGTAGGTTCAATTCCTACATAGGTTGTCTCTAAAACTAAATGAAAAACGCTCAAAGTAAATTAAACAGCATTGAAGTAAATGAAAAACACTCAAAAGTAAATAAAAAACACTCAAAAGTAGATAAATCAAAAACAGATGAGGTGAACTGGAATTGCAGGAACTGGTTTCATCTAAAAAATCTGCCTATATTTGTGAATTAGATGAGGTTAATAGCAACATTGAGACAGAAAAGAAGAAAGCTGGCTTGCCCTGGTTTATTATTTCAGTCACATTCTTACTGTTCGTAGTCAAAGGCAGAGAATGGAATGAGAACCTCCTAAAGCAAAGACTACGACGTTAAAATAAGCCGCCTATGAAGCTGTAGCCATTGCCAGATGACTCAACCATGTATGTACTGATGGTTTATTGGATGTAGTGGCTCTTGACATTTCAAGACTTCCTTAATAAGACGGGTTGGTTGTTGTCATGGCAAAATCCTTGGATGCAAGAATGAGAATGGTGCTTGCTAGAAGAATGGGCTGTCAATATATGGAGTTCGAGTATGATGTTGTGTTTGTTGTGCATTTGAAACATAGGTTTTCATTAAACCTTTTGTCCTCAAGACTAGCAGTTGTCTAATTTCATAGAACGATCATAATCCTAAGTGATCTCTAAAGTAAATAAAAAAGACTTTAAAGTAAACCTATTAGCTCAAGTGGTAGAGCACTATGCAAATGCATAGAGGTGTAGGTTCGATTCCTACATAAGTTATCTCTACAAAATATAACACACACTAAAGTAACTCAAAATTTCTCAAATGTAAATTAAAATAACTTTAAAGTAAATCACATAAGCTCTAAAGTATACGAACAATAAATTAGCTTTAAATGATTAATAATTATGGAAACTTTGTTATAGCACAAAAACTCTAAGTCATTGACTTTCATATTCTTGCAAGATGAGTCAAATTATAAGAAACAAATATATTGAGTTCAATGTAGATGTTTTCAAATTAAAAGTAAATTAAACTATATCGAAAGTAAACAAAAAAAGAAGAAATCTAATAAAACATATAAATAACTAAAATAAACTTTTATACAAAGTTTAATCTTTAGATTACACAAATGAACCTACGTGGGATTTGAACCCACATCTTTTGTGCAATTGTACAATGCTCTACCGATTGAGCTAGTAGGCTATTGTTATCAATCTATTTAAGTAGTACTAATTGTATAGAGAAAATAAGTCATGCAAATGAAGAATTAAGCTAGTAAACCAAATAATCTTAAAAGTAAATAAAATAAAAAATTACTCCAAAGTAAACCAAATAATCTTAAAAGTAAATAAAATAATCTATAAAGTAACTGCAATAAAGCCTTTGGTTATGGTAACAAAGTTTTGTTCTTTTATTTCGTATCTGGGTAGGGGTTGGAGTTGGAGATGAGGCATGTCACTGTTTGGTGATAAAGTGTTGAACTCTAAATACCTCAGCTCAAAAGTAAATAAAAAAGGCTAAAAAGTAAATTAAAACATCATTAAAGTAAATAAATAATCTTACTTCTGCTCATGCTTCTGCTGCTCCTCCTGCATAGGTTGCACTCTTGCTCACAGCAGCTTCCCGTTTCGCTCAACTTTAAGAACTCCCGAGCAGCATTTATAGCAGCAGACAGCAGAGCAAAAGTAGCATAGCAGCAGCAGGTGGTAGAGCAGAATTAGCATAGCAGCAGCAAGTCATGGCAGGGAAGCAGCTGCAGTAGCAGCCTAGGCAGGGCTAACAGCTGTAGCAGCAGCCTAGGTCGGGCCAGCAGTAGCAGCAGCCTTGGCAGAGCCTGCAGGGCAACAGCTGCAGCCTTGGCAGGGCCTGCGTGGCACTTAACCCGATCATTTACAAGAAGGTGGATATGGATGCATATGTTTGAGTGGGGCGAGCTATTAGGCTTGGGACAGTGATCATGGATGAGTTGGATAAGGTTGTAGCTGCTGGTAAAGTATGCTCATACTACACTTCTCCTGCAATTGCTGAAGCTCTCGCATTAAGATACGACCTCCAACTAGCAAGAAGATTGGGGTATTTAAAAGTAAATAAAAAAGAATCTAAAGTGAATAAAAAAGACTTTAAAGTAAACTGAATGAAATACACACAAATAATTGAAAGAAATAATTTTATCTCATAAATAAACCTACGTGGGATTCGAACCCACATCTTTTGTGCACTTGCACAATGCTCTACCTATTGAGCTAGTAGGCTAGTGTATATTGTCGAAGTAAAGAAAATTACTCAAAAAGTAAATAAAAAAAATAAAACAATCTCAAAAGTAAATAAAATGATCAAAAGTAAATAAAACGATCTCAAAAGTAAATCTAATTTGAAAGGATGTATGATCCTAAAACTGGATGCTTGCATAGTCCAAATCCCAAAAGACTACAGAGTATTAGATATAGAAGGAGCTGACATACTTGCTTTAGGGTATGAAATATTTCAACAAATGGATATATTCCTCCTTTGTTGTGCTATACAAAAGCCTGGATACTTAGGACACTCAACCTGAAAATACACAAAGTATTAAAATTATTAGAGATAAAACTGACTAAAATATCATTACATAATGCAGCAATACTATAGTGGAATGCACAAAATGCATTTAGATCCCTATAATCCCTTTTTACATACTCTATACATCCAATATGCCTGATATACTAGAGCGATGCAGAGAAGATACATGACAAGCAGAATAAACCACAACCACCATCGGCTACTGGCAAGCATAACCCCATCAAGAAAAAAATTTAAGTAATAAAAAGTTACTCAAAAGTAAATGAAAAATTATCAAAAGTAAAGCATAAAATTTACAAGTATAAGAATTACACGAAGGGAATCTCATATGCTTTAATCACCTTGTATTGACATCGAAAAACAAGTACACATCAGTTACAAACAAAGCAAATATATAATTGACTGATTTAACCATAGACATGGAAAATGAAAAAGAATCATTAATCAACAGAACAACAAGTACATCATGGTAGCTAAATTGCATGCATATCTTGAACATGGCAAGTTTCCTTCTACATATGTTTTGATAAAATTTTCCTTATAACAGAATACATATTTGCTAGCTTAATAAAAATTTATAGAAAAATAACCATAGAAAATCACCTAACCACTTGATGCTTAGCAAAGATTTTAGATTATTATTGACCCTTTACTTATATAGTTGATGGTGAAATAAACTTAATGATGCTTATGCCAGTGAAAAAAGAGCATGTATGATACTCGTATTTGTTTGAGCCAACTTTGAATCATCCAGAAATGTTCATGCAAACTATGTAATACAAAGTAAAGAAACTTGAAGTTACCCAACCACTGTCAACATAAAAGACATAAATTTCTGATAAAGAAACACAACTCACTTCTATTACCCTTGTACCTCAACTTCAATTAGAATTCAACTAAGGACATAATGTAAAAGTAGGCAGAACATCCCGTAGAAAATTAGTACAAACTTTCTTTTGGTCTATACAAAACCAGTTACGACAATAAAAAGCAAACACTGAGTACAACTTTAATAACTAAGAAACACCTAACCAAAGCTTAAACAGCTTATCACCATAATACTTTAAAGCTAAAACACAAGTAGGTAACTACTAATACTTAGAAAACAAGTGACTTGCTGCCAATTAATAACTTCCTTACAAAGAACCACCATATGAGGCATCATTTCCAGGTAAATATGAAGGGCTTGAATGGTGGTGGATGTCACTGCAACGGGGAATAGGCTGAGCATTGACATTGCTGGTCCCTTCTTTTGGTGTCTCTCTCTTTGGGCTAGGTTGCTTATCTTCAAATGAACCAAAACAAAGAGCAAACACAACTGACTCTAGCTCCTCCACCCATTTCTCAAGAGAACCCACCCGTTCCTCCATTGCTTATAAGCTAGGTTGTTTAGGTAACCCACACTTGCCACTACTATCCACTTTATTTTTACCCTTGCTTGCCATTGCAAAATACTTTGCTTTGAGAAAACTGAGATAGAAATGTGAGTGAGAAACGAAAACAAACCTTGTAAAAATACTGGCACCTTAACTGCCTTTTATATATGCCTAAATGGCTATTTATTACCTGAAAGTTAAAAGTAGTGACCTTAGATAATTATTTAGTCATAGAAAAACCCTCCCATGTGCCTCAGCATTGAATAACACTCAACAGAAACTTATGGAATACAGACCTCATCATTTAAGACTATTTGTTACATGTACAGCACATAATATTATACTTAAGTAGATTTGTGCTGCTGACTAACAGTACATAAAACCTGTAGATGTTACTTTGTCTAATTTAAATTCATATGATAAAACTTATTTTAATTTGTATCCACAGATGAAACCTGAATACACAACTTTAAACAAGCTTTCACTTGTAAGCAAAGCATACAAGGTTCAAGTCACAGTGAAGGAAAAATGTCCTGCCCGAACTCCTCCCGGCAAAAAAAGGTTCCAGAAACTGGTTTTTAAAGATGAGGAAGTACAAACCAAAAACCCTAAACTGCTTTGTGCTATTTATGTCTTACATCTACTTTACATAAATTTGTCTATCCTATACTACAGGGAAACAGCATGAAAGCAACTTTGTTTGGAGATGAAGTTGACCACTTCAAAAAAGTATTTGAACACAAGAAAAAGTATGAGATAGCTAATGATCCGATCAGGACAATTAACCCGAAGTTCAGCTCAATACCAGGAGAATGTGAGTTTACATTTGGAGGGCTAACTAAGATCCAAGCTATCGATCGAACTGAAGGTCCTGTTTTGCGAGACTACATCCCTATTGCTGATGTACCCAAGACCAGCGGTCCAGCAGACCGGTTTGGTAAACTTATAACATTACCTAAACTTAGTATTAATACTTTCGAATGCATCCAACTCTTGAAAGTAATGTGCCTAATTGCTAATTTTTTGCTAGATTTGCTTGGGGTTGTAGTCCACATGGAAGAAGTGCGCAAAGTGACATACAAATCAGGCAGGGTAGCTGATGTGCGTAATATCAGCATAGTTGATCAAAGGTAGTCACCCTTTTTTAAACTTCAACAACATTCCGAGCATTTTAATTTTAAACAATTTCATAATTGCATTCCATTGCATTTGCAGCACTAGTTCTTGGCCCCTAATCATCTCTGCGTGGGGACAACTGGCAACTTCTGACTGTGAAATCCTCAAGGACAGGGCATCCACTTTCTTGGTTGTAAGCTTAACTTCTTTGAAACCTGCTAATCACAGAGGTTAAAAATATTTTCACCCTCTACCACTTTATATATGCTGTCAATAACAAGTATACTAATGCTAGCTTCCACAGGGTTTTCACTCCAATCAAGCATGTCTACAACAATTGGCCCAGCACCCACTGGTGAAAAAGTTGATGCCTTAAGAACTTGGTAATTCCGCAAGCTTATTGCTCATAATCATTTATCACATTACAGTTTCACATTATAATGCAATTATATTTAATCAGATTTCAGCTTCCGTAATTAATCCACACATATTCTGACTTTGTTTATGTCATTAGGGCCCATGCACATCCAGACATCATTGCTGACTACATGGCAAGGCAGCTCGAGTTCATGACTGCGGGCACTGAACCAGTTCTTACAACAATTGATCAAATCATTGGCAAAATTGTAAGCTCCTTTGAGAACTACACCCTATCCCTTTACTTCCCTAACCTTTCTTCTTAACTGACACCAATTCATTTCAGGTTGACAGCACTGTCCAAGAGGAGCTATACACGCTGACAATCACAATTCTAGATCCACAATTAAGCAATGTGATTGCTTACATTGACTGCGATAATTGTGGGAGGCGATGTGGCGTTGCTGCACATGTGCCATTCTTCTGCCCACATTCCCTGACAAGAAATGCACTTCCACTAAAAGGTGAGCTTCTACATCCTTATGTTGTACAACCAAAATCCTAACCATATCTAACGTCATGAACTGACACTACAAATACAGGGTCAACTTTACCTTTGATGTTGCGAATGACACTAGAACATTTCGGCTAACTGCCTTTGGTCTGGTTTGTGAGCAAATCCTCAATCTAACTACATTTTAAATTTTCAACTAAAAAGTTAAGGTACCCAATCAATCCTTGCCTTAACTTATTTGGGTAAAAAAATTAAACACCGCTATTCACCTTAGGCATAACATCACCCTATATTCTACTCAGGATGACTAGAACGACTTCGATCACCTTGCTGGAACTCTGAAGTCCACACCAATGCACATCATACTTCATCCAACTCAAGCACTGAACAGGGCAGGGGTGCTGAGATGGGTGGTCCAATCTGTTTCCCGCGTATGAATGCCTTTTCAACCAATCTAAGGCTTCTAATCAGAACACATCATTCACGATAGGCTTCTCTTATCATTTTGGATGTGTTCTTGTTTGATGCCTACTTGATTGCTACCTAAAATAAGTAGACTACTCTCAAACCATTTGCCAAGCATTGTCTGTTCTTATTTAGAGTTACATCTTCCTTTTGTCACTGTTGTTGCTACCAAATAGCTTAATGATCCGATGATTGCATGTGTTTCCATATAGGCCTACAAACAATGCCTCTTTTGCTTGCTTACTCTGATGCATGAGTTCAGCAAGTCCTTGTAATATAAACTCTATGCTTTCTTATTCAGTATGTGATATTCTGCTATGCATTTCCAATTCTATATTCCTTGCAACCTAATCTTACAAGAATGCACATGTATAATGTTTGTTAGTCAGACTGATTTTCATTCCATTACCCTTGATTTAATTACCCCCCATCATTGCAGCCCATTGTTTAACAAGCCAACATATGCACCTTTTTTGAAGATTAAAACACTACCTTCAATAAAAAAAAACAATCACAAAGTTTATGCCTTGCATTGCTATCTAGCTATATCATATTAGAACCTGTTACAGTGCTATCTTTTACCAAATCAAGACAATTACAAAGCACTTTGATTCAAAGTTTAACAACATACTAATTATCTACCCTCTTCAAATTGAAAACCATAAATAAAACAACACAAGATATAAACTAATAAATTAAGATTCAGCTTATTGATTTAGAAAATCAGCACACCACCAAGCAATTCAAACCCATCCTCACCCTAATCTCAATCCAATTAGCATAAGCAAAGCAACAACAACAGTTCTTCACAAATAAATAAACCTTTCTTGATCATCAAATGAACTCCTGACCAAACTTGGCCTTCAAACCTTAAATCTGTTTTGAACACTCAACCAGCCAACCTAAAATCTTATAAACTCTTTCACTGCAATAATCATCTATCCAAAGCAACATTTTAAAGACTTTATTCATCTATCCATAAATGTCAAGCATATATAAAATGCACACTAATAAAACACTAAACATAAAACAATACAAGAATAAAACACTAAACCTTAAGATAATTATTTATATATACACTACAAAATATTACCGCAAAAGTGTGCAATTTAAAAACTATAGGGCAAATCTACCTTAACTTTGTAACAATTAGCATCCTACAATAACAAAATGAGATGGCCTAAATAGATTAAACTACTATAACACTACATAAACTGATCTACATAGCTAATCAGAATCAAAACCATAAGCATTGGAGTCTTCATAGGAAACTTCAAGGGATTGATGATGGTACAAGTACCCATCATCCTTTTTCGAGCCAACATCCCATTCCCCGGCCATTCGAACATCAACGATTGCCGATAATTGCCCTTGAAGGTTCGCCCTCCTCTGCTCCAGATACTGACGGTAAACGTGCGAAAACGAAGAGCTACCATTGTTACCGACCATTGCGAAGAAATGATCGGAAAATTAAATTCTCCATTAAAAAACCTTTCGAATTACCAGAGAAATTTCAGAGGAAAAAAATTTGGGATACCAAGGAAATGCTACACCTTTGGGTTTAATAGCAATCAAAAAAAGATCACTTCCATGCCTTTTTGCAAACTTTTATTACAGAAAATGCAATTCACATTACCTAAGAAACTCTTCGACTCTCATTGTCCAATGGCTTTTTACTTGCTATATAAGTACTACATGAAACACTCTAAAAATAGAAAAAAGAGCTACGTACTACTTATTTGTACGTAATAGTAATATCCGAAAACAATCGCGCGCCAATTTCTAGCAATTTACATTTGCTTTAATTTTTTAGCCAAATGCGCCTATGTATATTATACAACTAATTAACACAGAACACGCTTTCCAACAAAATACTTTAGCTATTTTACTTTTCATAATTTTCACCTTAAGTCCTTTTTATGTAATTCCTATTATCATTTTTCATTACAAAAATGTTTACCGTTATTTGCTTAACAAAGTATTATTACAAAATTAGACCTTCTACCTAACTTTAATTTGTTTTACATTTCTCCAAGAAAAATGCGTACTACGAAATATTGATTTATCTAAATTGAGTAAGATCAAATAGCCTTTGTTGTTGCCAAAAAAAAAAAAAGAAAGAAAAAAACGTACATGAAGTCATTTTTATTATTCAATGTACATATTGCCGCAAAAGCTACATGACGAATAAGTAATCATTTTTAAACAATAAAGTTTTTCATGAAGTTAAAATCATCCTAATCGCTAAAAATAAACTTATTTCCAATTTTTATTGACACGATGTTTACCGACTAAAATTCAAATTGTAAGTCAACAATACAATTACTTTAATATAACTAATAAAAATTAGTATTCAACAAGAAATAGATAGAGTAAAGTGACTGTTACAAAGTATTACAACAAAAATACTATTCGGCTAATTTACAAAAAAAAAAAAAAAAAAAAAAAAAAAAAAAAAAAAAAAAAAGCATCAACTAAAATATTTCCTCTCAAGATACTTATGATTTTATCAACTACAATGCATAGACTTTCCACATTTTTAAAATCATTGCCTTTACAATTCTTATGTTTAGCTTGTTCAATTATATTCTCCATATAATCAATCATATTTAGAAGGAAAAATTGGCCGCAACAACACCAACTATTACAAAGGTGCGTGTAGTAGCACAACCTTTCAAGGGTACAGTCTACATCACAAACTATGTACTTGGGTGCACATAACAACATGAATGACACCAATAGACTAAGATTTCATGGGAAAAATGGAATATTCATTATTTTATTATTGTTTAAATATTTTTTAAACTTACATGATTTCCCATTATACATGACTAAGTTAGCCTTTACTTTTATTAAATATTTTCATTTAAACACTTCTTAACCTCCACCATTAAAGCGAATTCCTTCAAAAAGTTTTCACTATTATCAATTACTTTTTTTTTTAATAGATCGATCTCATGTAATTGATTTAGTTACTTCTCCCTCTCCATTAGTCAAATACTAAGTTGATAAATAAAAAAATAAAAAAAAAACATCCGAAAACCATTTCGTTCCTCTAAATTTTAGGATAAAAAGTCTATTTCTAATACCATGCAAGTCCACAAATTGCTTCAAAATACTTAATTCTTCAAAAAACAATTTCAGAATCAGATTTTTGGATAGGCCAAATTGATTTTTTTTTATTTTCAATGTACAACACTTTAATGGTGGAGGTTGAGAGAGATAGTAATTTAAAGGGAGAAAATTAAATACAGGAAGAGGAAATTAAGACAATCACATGAGATGTTAAAAAAAAGTAACAGAAGAAACAAACGAAGGAAAATAATGGCAAAAACTTTTTGAAATAATCCCTTTAATGATGGAGGTTGAAAAGTGATGTTTAAAGGAAAACAATCAATAATGGAAGAGAAGACTACATAGTCAAGTGAGATGGAAAATCAAGTAGAATGGAATTAATAAAAATATATTAAATTATGTATAAAAAGCATTAAAAAATATTAAACAAAAATTTCACTTTTTGATGAAATATGAGTTTAGTTGGTGACATTTATGCTTTTATTTGCACCCAAGTGTATAGTTTGTGATGTGGAGTGCACCATCCAAAAGTTGTGCTGTTGCACGCACCTTTGTCATAGTTGGTGTCGTTGCGGCCAATTTTTCCTATTTAGAATACATGAACTTGTTTGACATTTAATTTTAAATCCACCGCCATTAACTCTTTGACTCTAAAATAAACCTACAAGTAATGTATAAACATGGCAAACAAAGACTAGCACTGTCTATAATTAAATTTAGGATTTTTTTTATTTTTTATTTTTTTTTTTTTTTTTTTTTTTTTGTAATTGTCAATGATTTTGCATATGTTACACTCACACAAATAGTCAAGGGATTTATATAAATAATATTAATACAAAGCATTAGAACATTATATGGGCTAGCATTTGGGCCTACAAAATGATGTGCATATATTATTCAACAAATGAGCCGAGCCTACAGGTATGTTATCAAAATTTAAAGCCCTATCTATTTACTACATTTGAACTTTTGACAAGCTTATGCATTTGAACTTACATGCAAATCATACAATGTATTCTGCATGGTCTTACTGATTTGCTTCTTCTTTTCAACTTCATGCATGGTAAACAAAATGATTAGTTTTTTACATTCTTTTCTTTTTTTGATTTAAATTATTCCTTGATAGATTAAACTTAATTTTTTTTTTTTTAAATAAGCTCATTATCAAGTTCTTTGGTATCATAGCCATGATCGACAATGCACACATATTTAATAAACACCCAAACAAGCACTTCTTTTCAAAATCATTACCTCCTTGAAAAAAAAAAAAAAAAAAAAAAAAACCCACATTGCGACAACCCGAGAAACAATTACACCCTAAAATTCTAACTAGCACCGCACGTAACGCTCGCGACGAACTCCCTAGTTACTATAGAAATGACGAAAGGAATGAATTAGACTATGTTCTATTCGACTATATTTTTGTGAACTTATTTATAAATTTTAGTGTATGGAAAAACTAAGTTTGTTTAGAGGAAAAAAAAACTTGTCATATTTTCTTGTGTCTATTCAAACACTTAGGGAAAAATAGGCCAAAAGGGTGAATATAACATTGGAATTTTTATATTTACCACCTTTGAAAGTAAGGGAGGTCTATTGTAAAAAATGACACCATAACATAATGATGTGTCATATTATGATTGGTCATTTTTTGATTTATTTTTAGAATTCTAAATGTACAATGCATGTATGTATAATTGCAAATACATGTGTTTTTTTTAGAGAATAAGTAATTATAGTTTTTTAAAATTTATTTTTATCATTTTAAAATCATTTTCAAAAATTAAAATATAATTAAAATTTAGAAAATAAAAAATTCATTATTGTTCTTCATTGTTCTTCATTCATGATCTTAATTAACCACCCCAAAAATCTTGTATAATCTATTCAGAATTCAGACCGAAATTCCGTCTAAAGATCGGACTGATTGCATTGGTTTTCGAATCTACTTCCATGATTCGTATACAAATTTCGTTTTAGGGTTCGAATGATAATTTTGATTTATGTAAAAATCAAGTTGTTTGATGGTTTTGAGGATGAAAATAGCCTTAAGAGCGTGTAGTATGATGATCTTAAACACATATCATTCAATTTTTTTAACAGGTCAATGAATAACGAGGGTGTGCTCTGCGATTTAGAGTTCGAAATATTTTTCTTTGCAAACCTGTTTGATCCATAATTGAGGTTTGCGATTATTGTAATCTATTTGTGGTTAGGTAATTACATGTATTTAGTTAGGTTATTACTTAAAAAATTTAGTTTTAATTTGTAGTTGGAATCTGCTTGTGTATAAGGCATTCATCAGTATTAGTTTTGGTCATTACTTACAAAATTAAGTTTTATGTTTTAATTGGAATCTGCTCGTGCTCAAGGCACATATGAATTACCCTAATAATTGCGTTTTCATTTTTAGTGGAAATCATAATTTTACGCTAATCATATAACAAAAAAAAATTATGGAATTCTTATCATATCATTTTGGTAAAAACGTTTATGGGATTATTATCTTATTATATTTTGGAAAAAATATTTTTGAAATCTTGGGCATATAAATTAATTAGTTCCTATAATTTTGGTATATTCCTAATTAGCAGTTTATATGATTTGTATACAAATATAGCTTTGTTATATATATGATATAAAAATATCTAAGTACATTGTTATGATTAGTGAAGGTTTGACCAAAAATTTTAGTTTTGAAAGATTATTATTGATCTTAATTATAGTTTAATGGCTATTCATAAAAAAATTATAGTTTAATGATTTCAATTTTAAAAAAAAATAAATAAATAAAAAATAGCGGTCACCTAATTTCCATAATAACATTTGCCCCCTTTTTTTAGCAATTTTATAGAGAAATATTCTCTCTCAAAAAAATTCCTTTATGACATTTAAGAGAATATAAAAAAATAAAATAAAACAAATTTAAGCATAATTTTAGGAACCATATATATATATATATATATATATATATATATATATATATATATATATATATATATATATATATATATATATATATATATATATATAACTTTCTTAAATTACATGTCGTATACATCTACATCCATAATTTTAGGACCCATCTTTTTTATTATCGTTAAGGAACACTTTTTTTGCCATTTTTATATACATTATATATTTATATTTTTGTTTACATAATTATGCCTACACGTATATATGTATTAGCTATTTTTTTACCATATATATATACATATATCTCGCAGTTATTTTTGTATACAAGTCAAATAAACAGGTACAAA